ACATATATATATATATATATATATATAGGCTCTTTGCAGCTTCCCTTTGGGTGTTACATACATTATGAAAAAAAAAAAGAAAACGAGTATAACCTCATTTTACAGGGGTGGGTATAAAAATCATTATTCCTAGACGCCGTTATTAACCCACCGTCTTTACATACGTTCGAACAGAAAACCAAATGAGTATAAGAACAAGAATCGTGGAACAAGGCTATTCTCTTGATAGGGCCTCTACTGCTTCTGGGCTGCTGCGCGTCCTCCTTCAAAACGTATTAACAGAATTACTTTTTACCATTTGAAAATTATCAAACGATTTCTCAAATGCTTATAACGGAACCCACATTCATTAATTTGCCTTGCATAGTCAATTAATGGAGCAAATCGTGAACTCATATCTTTGACAAGCATAGAAGTAAAGCTGTTTGCCAATTGCATTGAAGACGTTTACGTGGATGATGCAGAGGCGATAATGTATGCATACACTCACGGAATAAACTATATCTTGTCACTAATGCAAAATTCTTATCATAATAATGTATAGTTTGTACCTGTCAAAGACGTGAGACCATAACGTTAAGGAAACATTAATTGTTATCATACAGCTAATCATCATTATGATGACATTCATTCTTGTAAATTATCGGTTAAAAATTTTCAAACACAGCACATTGGCTTTGATTGATTCAAATGTGAACCCATAGAATCTACCTGCAGGCAGAAATGCTTTATTTACGCGTACTATCGATCGATACCATAATCAAAAAGAAACTTTTTTACCAATATTTTTACTATTCTTGTCAGATTCAATTCGATCGAATCAGTAAAAGGTTGGATGGTTCGGTAAACAATTCAAATCAAAAATGTCAAATTGATAAAGTGTCGAGTTATCGTTCGAAAATATACGACACGAATCTATAGATAACTTTTAGTCTGATAATGGATACCGATAACATAGACCGCTCAGTTCAAATATAATTTTCTTCTTGTTCTTCTTGTTCGAAAAGAAAGCTCAGCAAAAAGTTTAAAAAAAAAAATCGAAACCATCTCATTTTTCTCATGTCCTTTGAGCTATCATCAATACTCGCCCGAATGGGTTAAAAGTCAATTTAAATAATCCATGACAAGTTTGTCTATTTTTTCCTTTTTTTTTTTTTTTCTCTCTTTTATATTCGTTGCTGTTGACAACTGTTTTTAAGTTGAAAAAGAAATTTTTTTATTGTGATTTGAGTAAAATTTTTTTTTTAAATTAATTTTATTTCTGAAAGCACACAAGAAAACGTAAGCCGCTTATCGCCAATTGGTCGTTTTGGGCGGCAATCAAAAAAACTCTTTAAATTTTCGCAGCTTGCCTGCCACTACCTTCTTTTGTTTTTTTTTTTCTTTGGATTATTAACGATTTTCTTTTTTTTTTTTACTTTATTTTCCGTTTTAGTTGAAATAATTTTTAAAATTCATAAACTCACAAGTGAGAAAAATAAAAAAGAGAAAAACAACAGCAAAACGATACGATTCTGTATTTCATACGTTAAGAAAATGGGCCAAACTTTGTCAGAACCAGTTACCGCCAAGGAGTCGTCATATTGTCAAAATGAGTTGTATCGTGTCGGGTCCAGTTGTATGCAGGGTTGGCGTATCAATATGGAAGATTCACATACACATATTCTATCGTTACCCGATGATCCAGGTACATCGTTCTTTGCAGTCTACGATGGCCACGGCGGAGCTACCGTAGCTCAATATGCTGGCAAACATTTACACAAATTTATTTTGAAACGTCCCGAATATAGTGAGAATATCGAAAAAGCATTAAAACAGGTTAGTATTGTGTTCCTTCTCGCACTCTCTCTCAACTAATGTGCAATTTGAGCAAAAAAAAGAAAAAAAAAATCAAAAAATTATGATTTTTTGTTTTTTTTATGTTTTAGGCGTTTTTGGACATTGATTATGAAATGCTGTATAACGAATCCTGGGGAGAACAGATGGCTGGTTCAACAGCCGTTGTTGTCTTAATTAAAAATAATCACTTGTACTGTGCCAATGCGGGTGACTCCCGCGCAGTCGCCTGCATTAACGGAGAGGTAGAGACTTTATCTATGGATCACAAGCCCAACAATGAAGCAGAAACTAAACGAATTAATGAAGGCGGCGGTTGGGTGGAATTTAATCGTGTCAATGGTAATCTGGCGTTGTCAAGGGCTTTGGGCGATTTCGTGTTCAAGCGCAATGAAAACAAGAAACCTGAAGAACAAATTGTAACCGGTAAGTAAATTAGGTTCCTTTCCCATCTAAGCTAAAAACTCGAAAGGCGAACTTTCCGCTGCTTCTCCCACAATGAAACAGATATTGGCTGCCTAAAGAAAGCCAAAGAAAAAAAAAAAAAAGAAAGAAATGACGGACAGTCATTCAATGGACTATTTTAACAAATAATGACGCGTGAGCATCGTTTTAATCTTCTCTACATTATCTTTTTTGATTGTGGGTTTCCCGCCCGACTCTTTAACATACGTTAGTCATTTATATTACATATCCCCGTTATTGCGCCTACGAGTAAATAAAGATTTTCACGAACAGGGGAAAACGATATATTTGCATATATACAAACCGGTAGTCAATTAATTTTTCAACATCGGATTGCTTTATTGTTTCCATTGTTTTTCTTAAAAGTGACGATGACTACACCACACTTGCAGCTGGAATCTCGTTATTGTTTCTACGTTACGTACCTTTGTTAATATTGTTTATTTAAATTTCGAGCTAAGAAAGGAAAGTAGAAGTGTTTGCTGGCGGTCATTTTAAGAATAAAACCAGTCAATGCCAAAAAAAAAATGAAAACATATTTAAGTAAAAGAATTTCGATGAGAAAATTTACTATCGGGTAGAAGAAACGCATTTACCTTTGTACGTGTACACTTCCGTGAAAATTGCACAATTTTTGTTGTAGCATGATGTTACTATATATATTTATTTATTTTTAGTCGCTCTGCCGAAAACGAGTGAAAGTCTTGTTTCACGAGTCAACCGCGACAAAAAAATCTACATATTCTTGATATTCTCACAGTTGCAATCGTTGAAAGGTTGAGAGATTAGCGTGAGCTGCGCCCCTTGAACGGAAAAATCTGGAAATCCTTGTTGTTGCGAATAGTTCCTCATTTTTAGATAATCAAGACACTCTCTTCTTCCTTCCTCGCCCCACCCTTTCTACCTGCTAACCATCGTGAGTTCATATTACAGCGTCCAAAGTCCCATGGATTTCTGACATATTTGTCGCAGTTTAGAATATTTTGCCCTGCGGTGCGAAGGTTGTTCCCCGGCTTCTTACCACAGTGTCCGAAGTCCCATATACGTCTGACATATTTGTCGCAATTTAGAATATTTTGACCGACGTTGTGAAGGTTCTTCCGCTTCCTCTTGTAACGAACAGCATAACTTATTTATTATCTTTTTGTAGAGCGGCTGTGACGATGTAAGAGTTTTTACGTACATCCCAAACTTATAAATGAACCGGAATTGCTTAATTTCTTCTCCTTCACCCAATTTAAAATATAGTTTATAAACGCTCAATATATACGGATTTAGATTTATATTCATGGAGCGTTCTATAAGTCAATTTGATTGCGTTTCGATGAAAGCGTGAATCAAAAACGCACTTTACAGTCGGCTAAGAATCATACTAAGACAATTACTTAATAAAGTAATCGCACCTATAACACGATAGATACTTTCCGCGCTCACATGATACCGTACAACGCGTTATCTTTTTCTTATTTTCTTTACTTATGAGCACATCTTCTTGTTCGTGTCTATTAATTAAAATTTCACTATCTAATGATTCTTCGTTTTTTAGATTTTATGTACACAAACCACTATAAATTTCACAGTATAGAAATATGTATAGCGTGAGAAATCGCCGCGTTATATGGAGGAAAGCAGGTCTTATACAATGCACATAAAATCACGTAATATGAAAACCCGTTATACGACTACCGTGTTACAGGGGCGCATTACTGTACTTTAACACTATCAAAAGCAGAGAAATCGATCCTCTTATCCAAAACGGCCATTTTACAGAGCAGATGATTGCAATGTTTTTTAATTCAATATTTTTTTATAATATAATTATGACATTGCTTAATAACTGTACAAATAACGATGAGTTCTTGCCATTTGTGGTATTCCCAGTTGCCGGTCTTCTAACTTATCTATCTTCTTAATCTTAATTGTTTTAATGTGTATGTGTGTGTGTGTTTTTTTTGCTCTGCGAGCTGATGGCAGGAAATATTCTAGGGATACTACTGATTCTTACTAGCAACATGCACGATTCGCCTACATACTAAACACTACCCCCCCCACACACGCTTTTTTCACCACTCTCCGTCGCGGGACCATCGTTAGGTATTACTTCCGGGAGGCTGGATATCGTTAGCACGCTTCCTACGGTGGGACCTCAGCGGAATTCACTATTGGCTTCCACTCCCTCTGTTCCCCACCCGCGGTTTTTCAAGCGGTTTTAATTCTTTGACCACCCTGCTTACAAAGCCTGGTGCTCCAGGTCTCTTTGCTGGCAATTAGCCCCTCCACTATTTCATTGGGTTCTATTTGGGGTCTGCCATTCTCGAAGCTTTCGCAGCGAAAGGTGGTATGCTCTGCATCTTCGTTCATTTCCGAGCATGCCGGCCAATTTGGCGAGTTGTCGTGCCCGAACCAGAGCAGGTACTTTTGGAAACAGCCATGGGCAGTCAAGAATTGGGTAAAGTAATAATTTACCTCACCGTGTGGCCTTTCGGTCCATTCCATTGCCTTTGGGATAAGAACGAACATCCATCTTCGTTTCGTTGTTCTTTCCCATCACGCCTCTTGGGAGGGGGCGTTGATGCGGCGCCTTTCATGGACGCGCCCCATTTCGCACGCCAAGAAAGACAACGATTTGCATGGCGCCAGCAATTACAAGGGCAGCATCCTCCAACACTGTCTGGAATCTGCATATTTGACTTAGCGTACTAAGACGATATATTGCCGCTAATTTTCGATACCCTGCCTTCACTGTGAGTGCTCCGGTCCAAACTTCGGTTTCCATACCGAAGCCGAAGTTATCGCCGTGGCTATTACTTTTCGATTGGTGAATTTCGGGCTCCCAGTATTTGGCATAACATTCGCTAACGACGCCTGAATGCCGCCAGCTTTCTCAGCCGCGTACTCAACCTGGCGCTTAAAGTTGAGTCGTTGGTCGTACTTAACTCCAAGGTATTTCAGAGCAGCAGATAACTGCACCGTGCGTTGCCCGACTCGTATGCAGCATGTTTGCACACGGTTTCGGCGGTTTTATTAGCACCGCCTCCATTTTATGCCCTGCCAGCTCTAACTCCATCTCTTCTAGCCACGCTTTCACTTTAACGATAGCATCGTTAGCCATGCGCAACGCACTTTGCGACCACTACAATGGCTATATCATCGACAAAGCAAATAATCGTTACACCAGCAGGAAAATTAAGCTCAAAAACGGCATTGTACATTATGTTCCACAGGAAAGAACCAAGAACTGATGCCTGTGGGACACCCGCCGTTACTTTGTGCGCGTCTTTTTCCATTGTCGCTACCATAAACTAGCGTGCGGTTCGAAGGGTAGCTTGTTATTATCTATATCTTGGAATCTGCATTCTTATGAGAACCTTACGGAGGATTCTCTCAACCACCGAATTGAAGACGTTTTTCACGTTTAGTGTAAGAACGGCGCAGTACTTTTTATCGTCGCCCCTCCTGTGTGCATGTGCGTGTGTATTGATTTATCAAGCTGATCATTACGGCCTCGTAAACTTTCCAGAAAGAAAATGTGGTTTCTTTTGTTTTTCTCCTTATCGATATCGTGAGGTTCAGGGCGCTAGTTTCGATAAATAGGATCAAAAGCTCGCTCAAAATGATGAAAATAAATATTTACCTGGAATGTGTAGTAGCCAGAAATAAGTCAATTTGAAATTGATATATACGATGCGAAGCCTGAAATTTAATCTTCGCTCTACCTTTTAATCGCATAACACATACAGCGGTATTAAACGATTAGGAGGATCGGACATTATTGATAACTTTTGCTGAAAAAGCAATGTGTTTATCCAAGTAAACGTTTTCTAATCGAATTTTTTTTTTTTTTTGCTTTTTTGATATTATTTTCTAGCTTATCCGGATGTGGAAACACGCACAATTAGTAGTGAGTGGGAATTTCTAGTGCTGGCTTGTGATGGCATTTGGGATGTAATGAGCAATAAAGAAGTAATTGACTTTTGTCGAACGCGCATTGGACAGGGTATGTATCCCGAGGAGATATGCGAAGATCTAATGAATCATTGCCTGGCGCCGGACTGTCAAATGGGCGGTTTGGGCGGTGATAATATGACTGTAGTTTTAGTCTGTTTTCTACATAATAAACCATATTCGGAATTGGTGGCACGCTGTGCGTCTCCGGCCACACCGCAACAACGTAACACTAATGGCACAGCAACACCCAGTCAAGCGTCACTGTCCCCATCTGCAAGATGTGCTTTAAATTTAAAATAACATCATGCAATAGTTGGCAGTTTGCTCTGCAAAACAATACAATTAACTTTATACAATGCAAACAGCAGCAGCGATAACAACAGCAGAACCAGCAACACTTAATTTACGTGTTTGATGGATGATTGATTAGATTTTCTTCCTTCCTTAAGCCGATGATTTTAAATTTATGTTAATCAATTTTATGGATATTTATGCAAAAAAAACTCAACGTTTTCTTTTGATATTTAATTTTGTAGAAAAGGAAAAAGAAAACCCGGAAAACAGAAAACAGAAAGCAACACACAAAAAACACAAAATTCTCTTCAAAGTTTGCAAATTCAACATTAACAACGCGCAAAACAATTCGTGGCTCGTCTCTATTAAAACAAACCATATGGTATTTACCTCCTATACACAAAAAAAATTTAAAAAACAAAACACAAAAAAAATATATAAAAAAAACGAAAAGAATTGCAATCAGACACATATATACATACAAATAGACAAACACATACATATATACACGCAACCAATTTTATAGTATATATATGTGTATATATATATATTTTTGTATATATGCATATGTGCGCTCACATATATATACATATATATATATATATATATATATATATATATATATATACATATACATATATATACAAACACCAAATTAATTACATTAAAATTTATTATTTTTATTATTGTTACTTAATAAAAACAAAAACAAAAAAAGAACTGTGTTCTTACGTTGTGGGTTTTTCCCTCCAATTCCTATCACACAATTCCTAAATAGCTTACTATACTAAACTAAACTAAACGATCAATTAGTTAGTTGAGCCTTTACATTTTAAATGTCATCGTAAAACGCGGCAACGAAAATTTTTATAAAAGTGCTTAACCAAAATTATTGCGTCTCGGTTTCGGTTTCGGTTCTTTAACCCGTTTTCCTTTTTGTGTATTTTCCCCCCATCATGTATAAACATTCATTTATTTTTTTATTTATATATTTATATATATATATATATATATATATTATATATATGCGAATTTATATCTAGCGGTGTCGCTGATGACTCTTGAATTCGCTGCATGCAATGCAATCGGAATCATCAGAGATATCGTTAGATATAAATACGAATATCGTTTTCCGCAACAGCACAATTCTCTCTTCTTTTTCATTTTTTTTTTTTTTTTTTTTTTTTTTTTTTTTTTTCTTATTTATCGTTGTCGCTGTCACTAGCAATAAATATATATACAAATTAAATGCAAAGAAGAAGAAAAAAAAACCAGCAACAACAAAACAACTATAACATATACCGTGAATTGTTAAAATATTTTACAGTCTTTATTATTCTCATTTAACTGCTGATGATGATATTTGTTTCGAGTTTTTCAATACAATAAAATTATTCTCATTTAACTGCTGATGACATTTGTTTCCGAGTTTTTATATATATATAAAAAAAAAAAAATTGTACGCTTTTTTTTTTAAATATGAATTATTGGTATGAAAGAAAAGACATTGTTTCCAAATTTGATTTTGTATCGTTTTCAACCTTCATTTAATTTATGCATTTGTTGTTCTCTTTAAGTGTTTCATCCGAACACTGTATACGCTATAATATAATAATTATTTATTATTAGTTGTCCTCAATATGTTTAAAGAGTCGTCTTTTATTAAATATTTTACTTTATATACATTTTATATATATACATACATATATATATATATTGCAATTTTTTTTTATAAATCCTTAAAAAAAAAATCAAAAAGCAACCCAATATATAATAATTGGAGTGAACAAGTTTTTCTACTTATATAAGAACTTTTACTTTTAATGTAAAGAAAAATAATAACTTTTTTAAAGAAGAAAAGCTTTAATTCATCGAAAGGAAAAAAAAAACACAATCGTCTTTTTTTATTAGTCGTTTATTATTATTTAAGTTTTCTTTTTAAGCAAAAATATGATAAAGGAAAAAAGTAAATGAAAATAAAAGTTTGAAATTTAATTAAAGGATAAAGAAATTTTTTGTTTCGAATATATTTTTACACTAGTTAAGTATAGATATTATATAGAAGGGCATATTTGTTTTTTTTACAATTTCGTCTCTTGTCCAAATATACATAAAAATATGATTTTCACTTATGAAGAGAGTGTGCGTGCGTGTTTGTGTCAGCATCGGCAGTGTATTGTTTAGCGATTTCAATTATCCATAACGTGCCCTTGTTTATGATCAGCCAGCTGTCAGCTTTACTTTAATTGAATACATAAAAATTGTTATTTTTTTTCGAAAAAGGACATCGAAAGGTCTCGACGTGGCTCAATATAGGGCGATGCAGGTTATTATTATCGACGCAGGCTATTAACGATAAAACCTAACTTCTAAAGCCGCGAAGGCTTTGCCGCTTTAGCCGCTCATACGAACTTCCACGCACTTTTAAGGGTTACTTTTTATAGTCAATTCTGTTTGCTGACACAATCGCTAAACGCATCGTGTAAATCTTAAGGCTGAGAATAACGTTACAATCGTAATCCACAACGTTTTACTTATTGCTGGCTGCTTAAGCGAAATAAGCCATGCAGCAAAATTCCCAAAAATGACGAATATGATAAATAAATAAATTTAGAAAGTCTTCTGATTTCGTACTCTATGTTGGATGAAGGCCCTGCATATGGCCATTTCTTTCGTAAACATTCATAGGTTCATCTATCAAGACAAAATATAGCTGAGGGGGCAATCAAATCGCTTCGTGCTCGAACTTGAAACGCAATCAGCCACTTTCGATTATTGTATATGTCGTCAGGCTTTTTACTATTTGCCATATTTAATTTAAAATGTCTTGAAAATAGGGAATACACATAGTTGTGCAAATTATCTCCTATAGCACTTGTGGTACAGGGTTCATTATACAGCACGCAAAAACCGCTTAAGATATATTTATTCATACCGACCGATTCAACACCATTTTCTAAATCGATTTAAGTCTGTCTGTCCGTCTGATGTCTGCCCGTGTAAATTTCTATTCAAGCCCACAAGTCACGTGTTTTCACCCAAGGGCAAACACTGTTCAAAATGGTTTGAATCGGTCAGTCCCTACATAATGCGCTATTTTAAAAAGTCATTATATGGGAAAAATGGAAATCTTCAAAATTTCTTGACAAAATGGCTAAGTACTAAGTACTTCAGCATTTTAAATTGGTATGAAAACTTTGGTTCGGCTGGGGCAATTTTTGAATCCCCTTGCATAAAACAAAAACTGAAGTTCATATGGCAAAAAGGCCCAATTTTCAATGCTTCATGATGAATATCAGATCCATAATATAATGCTAAATTTTGAATACAGGCCACAAATTATTGACCTCTTGGGCACAACAAATGAGGTGGAACTTTCAATGTACAGTCCCGCAATAATAAGTCATATAAAAACAGGATATAAATTTAAGTGCTAATGGAAAAATATTAATTATGTTAACCAATGTGATGTAGGCCTAGCTCGACTATAATGTTTTTATTTGTTTTTTGTAATATTTAACTCTAAGATAGATTTGTTACAAAGGTTAATAATCGATATACACACCATCATTATCTATGGTCTTTTGCCATTTATCGAGGTGCTTATTGATGGATGCGCAGTATAAACTTTATAGTTCCGAAATGAAATGTTCATCGATCAGTTTTCGCACATCTTCAAATTCTGTGAACCGCTAGCCTGCTAAATGTGACTGCATCGACCTGAATATGTGGTAATCGGATACGGCCGGCTCTGAAGAATACTGTGGTATGCGGTAAAACTTCTAAGTCTACCTTGAAAATCGATTCCTGAGTTGCTTTGGCCGCGCGGAAGACGTGCGGACGTATGCAATTTTCATTATTTTCAAATTAAAAATTTGTTACCCGATATCTCCCAAACTAGTTTCGAACTGTTTTGTAGCTTACTGTGTTTTTGCTCGAAGCCAACTTAATCTAACTCCAGATTAAGTCAATTAAAAACGCAGAAAAATGCAATTCCATAAATTGCATCCATTTCTTTCAATTTTGGTATACACTGCACGACAGCTGAAACTTGCACCGTTTAAATATCCAAATTATCTATACTTGAAAGAAACCATTTTTGAAGGAAGAATTTTTATTTCTACACCTAATATGTGGCAATCACATATAGAATCATTCATTTACTCTTTAAATTCAACAATATTGTAGTTGAGCAAAGACGACCGTTACATGCCCTCCTGCCCACTTCGCCTAACACAAATCTTAATTTATTTTCATGAAAGAATACCAAAAATTATACCCTTCTTCCATATAAAAGCAGTCTTTTTATACTAATCGTTATACGGAGTCGGATTACAAAAAATAAACCTATGTAATCCACATTTGCTGCATACTTATATATAAAATATATATACAATATATATATATAAAATATATATATAAGATATATATATAAAGACCAAACCTTCTTAACATATTCTATAGGGATGTTATACGTGATCGCGTTAAAAAAAAATCGGCTTATCGGGTCCAAGTTTTGCATATCAATTTAGAAGGACAAAATGCTTTTACTTGCAACTTTTGTCGAGGAGTCGAGTTTTGAAATTTACAATTTTTGTACACGACTTTTGCCGTTAGGAGTGGTTGCGAAAGTAATTTGACTCTACCAATTCTCTATAGCGTTTGTTCTTACCTTCGCAACAAGTCAAAATTTCTCAAAGAACATGCCTTACGCACTTGCGTGTTCAAGTAAAATGTACTATTGCAGATTCTCTTCCCATGTCGCATATCAACAACTGGATTGAAGTTATTTTCAGCTATCCGCCGCCTCATAGCTTGCATTACGTTAGATGTTTAGATTGCTAATCTCTCTCTACAAAATCCTTCGATTGCATTCGCCCAACTTTTGAACTGAAAGGCTACAGTTTTATAACCTTTTTATATCAATATCGCGTATATCTAACCCTTTCACACTACCGTTCAAGTATGGTTCGGTCAGCTTTATACTAGAATATATTGCCGCAAACTTTAAAATCCTTTGAGGACTCCTTCTCCTCACTCCTAAAGATGTAAATTTTTCTTCATGTTGCTACTTAACGATTACAGTGTATAGTCATAGAGAATATTAATTACTTAAATAGTCTCTCAGTTCGGTAACACTGGCCTAATGTACTATATAATATAACAGTGTGAACATGAATTTATAAAAAAAATAAAAAAGTGCATACTGTAGTTCGAACACGAACATACCTGAACATACGTCAGGCACAAACGCAAAAACTTAAATTGAGTCAGAAAATGGTTCGGAATCGAACAGTTCTACGCATCCGCACAAACTTTATACTGCAGGTATTATAAGGTGTAATTGAAATTCGAAAATTTGCAAAAAATTGGAAAATTGTCGACCTATTCATGAATACTGTTTTGCAATATCGATTTTATTTATGTTCACTCTCATATAGCTTGCTAGCTATTTATTTAGATTTTTCGACTACATACCATGCATGTTTCCATGTACAGGCTAGACGGTTAGACGTAGTGCACATGTATACACGTACAATGCAATCATTGGGAAACGCTCTTCCACATGTAATTGCTTTCTGACCTATCTGCATAACATGCCAGTTATCCATTTTATACTCATATAGATCGAGTTGGATTATAAAAATAAATAAACAATATAAGTTAGTGAACTAAAATGTTGAAAAAATTTGAAAATAAAAATATACAGTCCATGCTTTTTGTAATAATTAGTTCTTCAACGTCGCGTGTCAGATAACTGGAATCATAATTAAATAATTGTAAAAAGGGAAAAGCATAAATGGATTAAACAATTCAAAGGACGGCACTATGAATGTATTTGAATTTTAAAATCGGTTTTGGTCTCCCAAAACTTCACACACTACTGGACCCCTTTTAACGTCTGCTTCCTGGGTATTCATTCAAAGAAAGATTAGAAAGAAAACAATCGCTAGCTATTTATAGTAATTTATTTATTGTAATTAATTTCTTTTTATTAAGAATTTCAAAGTGTTTTTTACATTACTCCCACTTTCTTTTTTTTACCAAAATTCCTTACAACTGTAATCGCGTTTTTTCAGATACGAGTTGTCCAATAATAAATGCAACGCTGTATTTTTGCGGAAAATTGTAAAAGAATAACTGCAATGTTAAAACACTTTACCTGACTCGTATTGCTGTCTCTGTCTGCCGTCTGATTTAACTACAAAATAAAGGTTCTTTTTTTCACAACCACACAAAGAAAAGAAATTTTCATCATTCAATTTATATCAGTTCGAATCGAGTACTTATAAAAAAGTCGAACATATACTCACTTCGTTTGAGAACGCATTGAATTTTTTAACAACGATAAAGAAAAAAATTTCTAGTTAAAAACCGAATTCTTCAGTTCAGTCAACTACGTGTAAAAATAAAAAAACTGAGAACAAAAAATATAATTTTAAGTTTTGCTTCTGTCAAATAAAAACCTTTGCTTTTCGTGAAGAACGTTTAATTTGCAAATAGTTTCCCGTATTTTTGGCGTTAGAATTTTATTAGAGTTATCGTATGTCCATTCAAAATTTGAATACTTTTGGTAAGTTTTATGATTTATGTTGAAAGTTTTTTTATTTTCATATATTTTCATCAAGTCAGGGCAGTTTAGGCTGCAGTCATCATTTTGCACAAAAACACACGCACGTACACGGAATGTATTATTGTATAAAATGGCTGCCATTGTATGATTTGCAAAATCTGTTCATGATGTCTGTCACATGTTATGTTAAAACGCAATAATTTTTGTCAAATTGCTTTGTTTTTAGACGTTTAAAGAAAGTTAACATTGCCTTTAGCGAACGTGCACGATTATAATGTATATATATATATCTATTTCTATATATGCGTACATATACACGTGCATATGTATATATATATATATATGATGAGTCAACTGAGATTTTGCTGCTGCATATATTTCAAAACGTATTTTTTTTCATAGTGTTCTCTGTCTGTTGTCGATGCGTAGACGTCGACTTGGGAAATGACTTTACGTCTGTTTACTGATGACCATAATTTTTTCATTGCTCAGGCTCTTCCCATTCAAGCCGCGTTATTAGATAAAACCATGAAAGAAGAGTCGTAGACTAAATTTTGAGGTTAACAAAAAACCACACTCCATTGCTTTTTATATTTGAATATCAACGAACAAATATGTGTATATAGACTTCGTTCGTTGTAGTTAATTTGTGCGTGGCATGTCCGCGATATAGCATGCACTGAAATTACTTGTCTAATAAAGCGAAACAAATACGAAGTGGTGTAAAAAAGGAATTAATTTTTTTTTTTTTTGGGGGAAAAACAAGCTTACGTTATTCTACAACACTTGAGCGTTTCTTCTTTACATCATTTTAACTGAGCCCGTTCAAGATCTTATACACTGGGAATGAGAAAATTAAATATAACGGCTAGCGATATCTTATTACAAAACATAAATTAGCTTTAAGGCCATTTTTAAATATTCATTGGAGAAATTTCTACTTATATTGAAATTTTTTTCGAATTAGAGCACACATATTTTATTTCAGATTGTTATATAGACCTTAGTTTTTTTCAATGTTAAGAGTTTTCCTATAGTCAATTTCTGACAGCAAAAAATTTAAACAAAAGCCGCTAAGATGACTTCTCAACTTAGGACTAAAGTTGCATTATAAATTTTCTCGATAGAAATTGCATTTTCATTCTATTATTTAATGGAATCTGAAATTAATATAAGTTGTTTCTACGAAAACTGTATTTTTTATAAATTATAGCTATACTTTTCTATATATCATTATTTATCACTTATTTATGTTAACTGTAAATTGTATTTTACATAGACCCCTTTGCTGATGCAATCAAGGGTGCTGATGATGATGTACAAGACGGCCTTGTGCACATAAGAATTCAACAGCGCAATGGTCGCAAAACATTAACTACTGTACAGGGTTTATCATCTGAATATGACCTGAAGAAAATTGTGCGGTCATGTAAAAAGGTAAAAGTAAAACATTATTTAGTTTTTCTAGTAATTGGCGAGCGAATCGTTTCTTTCTTTTTAATTTCATAGGAATTTGCATGTAATGGCACTGTAATTGAACATCCCGAATACGGTGAAGTTCTACAGCTACAGGGTGACCAGCGTGAAAATATTTGTCAGTGGTTAACAAAGTCCGGCTTAGCCAAACCTGATCAATTGAAAGTGCACGGCTTCTAAACTAACGGAACAAAAATAAAAAATAAGTAAATCAAACAAATACGCAACAACATCAATAAAATAATAAGAACATTAAACAAACTCTTACCGTGAAGAAGAAGTAGTAGACGAGCAAAAACAAAGGAAGGAAAGAACTTGTTCAGGTTCCAAAAAGCAAAAACCTACATATATATATATATATATATATATATATATATTTATATATATATATATAGATATATACATGCACGCGTATAAATATATATAAATACATATATCAATATATCCACACATATATATACCTGTATGTATAATATATATATATAAATATATATATATAGATATAAACGTATTTGTATATGTGGCGGTTTATATATATATACATATACATTTATGTGTATATATATAAGGCAAGACGTATTAAAAAATTACCGTCTTTATAGTTAATCTATAATTATTACAAGTATAAATCCCGTTACATTGTTATTTTAACGACAGTGACCACAATTAAAAAAGCCTGCTAGAGATTAATTTACAAACAGAAGAGAACCAAAACATCATTGTCAGAACAGCGGTTGTCAGTCAGTCCAACATAACCCCCTACAATACATATATTTGTTTGTTTCAATTTGAATTTAAAATAATATTAAAGCAGAAACGAAAACAAACGAAGAGGAAAATATACAAAAGTTAAAAAAAAAAAGATTTTAAATAATTGCTTATTCTCACAAGAAATAAATAATTAAACGGAAAAAACGAAAGTTTTTCTTTATTAAAATTGAAAAAAAAAAAAAAAAAAAAGTAAGTTATAAAAAGAGCGATTCAGTTTATTAACAATACACAAAAATTTATTATAATATTAACAATAGTAACGAAAATATATATATAACTAAATCTAACATAACTGTTAATTATATTAAATGCAAACAAACTATTAACGAGGAGTCGCAGAAAACAGAAATTTTGTAATAAATGAAAAAAATTAATTGTATGTATATTTTTTGAAAATGAAATGAAGTCACAACCCAATTTTCAACGGATCAGCTTGAAAGTGTAATAGAAGAAATTTTTTTTTTTTTTCTTGTTATTTTCAATATAGAATCGTAAGCAAAATATTAAAAGAGCGTTTTTTTTTTGTTTTTTGTTGTTTTTTAGTAAGCGTCGAAATATGTTCACATTTTATTGCATTATGACCATTTCAGAAAGCAAAAGTTGTTTTCTTGCTTTCTTACGGAAGCAACGCAAAAAATGTTCATTTGTTTTATTATGTCACACTTAACTGAAAATAATGGAACGACGTGTATGTGTGTGCTATACTTACCTATATACATTGTAAAACTAAACAACACTGAAGACTTTGTAATGAAATGTAAAGAGATTTCAAATTTTCGTTTTTCCTTAATTTTTTTAATTAAGAAAAAATGTTTCTCTTTATATATTTGTTTTATTAGGATATCAATAAATTAGTGCATAATCCAAACAAGTATATACATTTATTAAATAAATTGAACAGAAAAAACTAAAAAAATGTAATTTGGATTTAAATAATAAAACAAATTAAATATAAAGCGAACTAAGAATTGTCCTTTTTTCATTAATTATGTTATAAAATTAGTCTTAAATAAATTTTTAAAAGATCAGGTAGTGATCATCAATAGTCTCGTTTTAATTTATTTATTTTTTTCTTTTTCTTAGTACATCGTCGTGTTTCAGACAAAAAGAAAAAGTTATCAATCAATCTGAACTGCAAGAAGTAAAGCAAACGATGTTAATTAAACTTGATGGCTTTGATAAAAAAAATAAGAAATTTCATGTTGATTATAACTCACAGCTGGGTCCCGTTTAGGGTTCTCGATCGTACCGTCATTCTCGATAGAAACGTCTTATGGCTTTATATTAAAACTGACTACGATCGAATCAAGATAAATATGTCAATCGAAAGATAAGCCACGGAATATTTTGTGATGTCATTAGTGTGTGAATAGCAAATAAATGAAATGAAGAGGAAGAACATAAACAATGAAAAAAGAAAAACAATGATCCAAACAAATTATTTTAATTTATCTTAATATATATAGACTAAAGCCAGTAAGTACATTTAAAAGTTTAACTTAAGTGTGCAAAAAATACAAACAAATAAATAATTTAATATCGTGTATCGAAGAACCACGAGTTATGCCATTTTACATTTACACAACATTGTGTGGAGAAATAACTATAAGTGGGGCATCAAACATGGTTTAATAAATTAAGATAAATATCATCATTCTTTACTTAAGGGTTTAAACTCCTTTTTTCTTAATGTGTTTTGGAGCTGATGGCACTTTCTCCTCCCATATAACTGAAGCGCCAACACTGAACACTCTTTGACAATACTTAGAAGAAAGGTTAGCATAATCTGTTAGTCCTCTTTTTAATCTTCCCCAAACATTTTTTTGTTAATTTCCTTTTGATAATATATTTTCATTTTATGTTATCAGAAGATAAAACCTTCGAAAACAACTGTTTGCTTTTCCCCAACATTTTGGAATTACGGCATTAATGAAGTTAGGTAGTCTTTATCTATATATCTATTAATTGCATCCAATTAGTGCATTTCGTGGTTTTTCAATTTTCTAGTCGATAATAAAAATCAATGGGCTACGCTAAACTCTCTACCCGATAACTCGACACGATAATCGGCAACTATAAATCCGGTCGAGTTTACTCAATGCCAAGAACCATAAATCTGTCCGTTTTTTTTTTTTTTTTTTACGAGAGCTGTTGATGTGCCCATTGCGGCAGGTGAAGTAGACATACATGGTGCTTTTAATTTGATTGGTTCGAAAAATTGTGTATCAACTTTATATAGGGTTTCTAGGAGAACTTTTTCTTTTAACGTTTGTCATTTTCCGTACAAAAGTATTATCTAAGCTTTATATAGTAGCATAACTTGTTCTTCTGAAAAGTTAACAACATAGTTTTTTGGAATTTCGAATAGATTCAAGTCGTAAGTCCAAGAACGCCTGAATCGAAGTGTTATTTTTCGGGTCAAATGCTAAATCGCAGATACGAAATCGTTGTGCAGATATTTGACAAATTAGTGAGATGCAGTGTAGCTGTAAGCCGGAAAACGAGCTCAATATGTTGTCCGTACGTCGAATCCTAAATTTACTACATTTAATATATATTTTATTTTGTTTTTTTGGTATGTTGAATGGAGATGGACTAAGCCGATAGATTTGTGGCTTATATGTCCCAAATTTAATATTTGACCGTTTTTTTTTTTTTTTTGGAAAACAATCGGCTGGAACGTTTCGTTTGCTACCAAAGATTACTTTCGATGAGTAATAATAAACGCATGATAAAACAACGTCAAATGTCAGAGACAACGTCTTTTTATGGTTACTTTTAGAAATCTTAAAAATAACAACAACTGTTTATTTAATTAAAAGAAAACGAAACTATATGTCAGTTTCTCCATTTAGTTAGCTAAACTTACCAGCGTACCAAACGACCATTCATATGCTATAAGAAATATCTTTTCATACACTTTTCGGGCGTTTTTAATTGGGTTTCATTCGGAATTAGAGAGAGACTGAAATGGTTACTTAAGGTATTTGACAACACACATCTTTTATAAATGCTTTTTTTCGGTAATTTATTTACAATGTTATGGATGATTTTTGACTTTCGCAACTTTTTCTGTTCTCTACAAGTTCCATACCAAGTGTACTTCAAGTTAATCGACTTGATTTGTCGTTCAGTTTAATAAAGTCTGTTTTGGGGTCCAGTCTCTAATTTTATATTTGTATGCCCGTATGTAGTTAAATATTTTCGGTTAATTTGTGGTAATCGCATATCGAAAGAGGTGAAAATATCTGAGCCTTTGGCAACACTAGGATGACGTCGAAGAACGTTGTTATTGTCAATTTTGTGTGTTTAATTTCGCAAGAAATTATCAGAGGAAATTTCTGAAAATATTCGGAAAAAAGTAATATAAAAAGTGAGCATTGATTAATGCTAATTAAATCGGTTATCAATTGCAAAGGAATTATACAAATTATCTTTATAAAAGTTAAAAAGCATAATTGAAAAAAAAATAAAAAAAAAGATAAAAGCATGTGAAAGGCAAAAAACGTGAAAACCCGAAATTAAAGTAAAAAAAAAATTGAAGTCGCTTTGTCGGTGTTTTTTTTTGTTGTTGTTTGTTTGTAGTGAAACTTATAAGTTGTCTCTTTTTAGCTAAAGCGTGTAGGCTAGAAGATTTAACGGTTGTTGATAATAGATGGTATGCGGTTTTAAACAGAAGAGAGCCTTAATTAATAATAAAGCGTCGTTTTCATTAATGTGAGACTTGTATACAGAAATACATGCACGGTTTGAGATTCAACTAAGAGAACTGCAATTGTTGTTTTATCGTAAACAAAGTGAAAGTGAAACGCAGTTATCAACTGGCAAGGAATTGTCAACTATTAATGTATAATAATTAGTGTGCAGTGATGATTAAATGACATTTGACGACAATACAAATTTATCAAATTGATTGCAAATCGTTCTGTTATTTTTTGCAAATTTTATTTTGATATAGAAAATTAAGGTAATCATAATGTCAGAAAAAGCGTTTTTTTTTAACAAAGTGGATAAAAATTGCCAGCAAAAAAGTAAAAACCAAATACTTGAAGGAGTACGGTATAAGCTAAACAAAGAAATTGAATTTCTTGTATTGTTTACTTCCATATATAGAAAATAAAAAAGATTGTGGTTTCGTATATGACAAGTGTTTATTAGTCTTACGATCGTTACAATAAAATTGAATTTATATATACAAATATATATGAATTTATATATACAAATATATATATTCATATATATATATATATATATATATATTTGTATAAAGAAAAATTTACAATTTTTCAATTTTACAATTATTTTTGTCCTTTATAAACAATTCATAAAAAGTATATATTGTGTGCTAAGAGAATCAAACTAAAAAAAAGATATTTCTAAAATAAAATTTTAAAAAGTAACGTCAGAGAGACATAATAGATTTGAAACGACATTGAATTGAAGTATTGAACGATAATATTTTTATAAATCATTTATTTTTACTAAAGTGTGAGTAATGCAGTATTTTACTTTCAATTCGCATATTATTAACTAATTCTATATGACATAAATATTTTCCATGT